ATCGAGAATCCCCGAGGAATAAGATCGATCCAGCTAGTACGATAGGGTTATGGGAACGGTCCCTAACTCGCACCTGTACAGATAAATGGGAACTGGACCCTGTAACATAGGGCACCTGCTTACATTTAAATCCACATAATCAAAAGAGGTGATTCACTCTTTATCATAACTAGGTCAATTCTATAAGTAAACGTAAATAAAAACGCTTCAGTATATTGACCCTCTTTGTGAATCAGTTTAGGGTAACGATTTGCTAGTAAAGTCCCCAGGGTCGCTCCTCAGAGTCCCAGGGGTGGTCTGAATAGACGGAAAATCTCCTTGCCCGAAGTTCTCTCCTGGCGCTGAGATCCTGTCACAATAGGACGGCGGCGGTACTCCAGTTGGACGCGGCAAACTGTCAACGGCGTCTACTTTAAGAGACGATGGCCTTACCGCAGTGAAAGAGCAGAGACGCTCTATGTCTCTAGAGTATGGCGGTGGAGGCTGGTCGCTGTTGTGTTCCTCGCTGTATAGAAGTCTGGTTCTGGAGTTGTGGACGGATGAGCTGATGATGCAGATACTGTCGTAAGGCGGTGGATCTGTGTACACTCCTACGGTATATCGGCCAATATAGAAATAACAGCAGAGTAAAATATCAAAGACAATTGCGTGCGGTACATTACTTTATATATGCATGTACGCGCACATGTACCCTGGTATGTGGATTATAAGAAGCATTTAGATTTATAGATTAAATGCAAATGTATATTAAGAAATAAATTAGAAATATGAATTGAACAATGAATAAATCGTAAACTGATTTATTAATTTTTTTATCAGGTATTGTTTTGTGAATGCAAGAGTAGCAATATTAAAGATATGAATACATATAAAAAGGAAATACAATAGAACTGTTTATGAAAACAGAGTTATATGAATTCATCAATGCATATTCAAACCATGTTGTATACGAAAGTATCTCACCGGCAGGTCCCCCCTGTATTTGAGCGCCCTCTACCGCCGCTCTAGCCCTGGCCCTAGCCCGGCGTCGCTTGATATAGCATCCCGCGACCACTATGGCTACCTCAATGACGATGACGCTGCTCACGATGATGGCAGACGACTGGCCGAATGTAAGTCCAGCTGGGAGGAGAAAACAAGATACACCGGTTAATGATTGATTGGATTATTTATAACATATATTACAACTGTGAAAACAAATTTCACGAAATGTTTTGGTTGATTTGCTTTCTTTTGCGCCAGTAATTGAGTACGTTATGAGTGAGCACTCCAGTAATGCGTACCTGTTAAGCCCAACAATATATTTAGAAAAAGAAAAGTAAGAAGACGGGGGAACGTGACGAGAAAAAAGTCACCTTCGTGTTAATCAAATTAGTCACGCAAGGGAAAACTTTTATTACTTTGTACTACATCACAAGATATTAAATGAAAGCTTATGTTTATTAGTGACGTAAACGTCGGGATTTTACCTTTAGGGAGATGGTAGACAATTCGTGATAATCTGTTGCACTTTGACATGCAATAACCTTCTGTCTCGAACTTTAATAAGATTAAAAGTCCAAAGCATGCTAAATATTCATGAAGATTGACTGTTTACGTCACAGTGCATCGCATGTTGTAGATGAATAACTTTTTCAACATTTGATCATTAATATGGCACTGACAGTATATACATGTAGCTGCTACATGTACCTAAGATGTAGGTGAACGAGGAGAAGCTACTAGGGCCCAAAATGCGTGAAATTAATATTATACATTTGTACCATCAGTAAATAATTTTTATTTTTGATAACGAACTTTTCTTAGACCTTATTGTTATTTTTTACTGTACCTCAAATGATGAAGCCCCGATATCAAAAGATAAAACTTAGATGCTAAAACGCTGCTGACCTACCTTTTTCTGATATGACAGTGAATTTGAAGTCGTAGTCGATGCTCTGTCCCCTATGGAGCCTGATTTGCATGGAATTGTGACCAGATAGGATGTCGCTGAGAGCCAGGGTATTGCAGTGTATTGCCCTCTGTAATTAGAGGAAAAATTAGGACGACTGCTTCAAATGCGGGTAAAAGCTAAAACTGAACTTGTGTAGGATTTTAACTCATGGCGACCGTTTTGGATAAAAAAAAAAGTGGGATTCAGGACAAAAAGGCAGGCTTTACCCATGTAAACTACATGTTTTCATTAGACATAAACGCGTGGCGCCAAGATACGTCATATTTGAAGGAAGAGGCAACATTCCACCTATTGTCTGTCACAGAATCCATCAGCTGAATATTTTTTAATATTCTCATAATTTGATAGCCAGATAAATGACTAAATAAATAAAAGTGATTTTCCTCCGTTTAAGATTTAGTATTAACTCTAAACATGTTACCCAATAAAACTCACGTGAGTTTTGACAAAGCAAAATAGCGCACGTTTGCGTAGCATTCTTCTGCGTGCATATGACAAATTTGTTGTTATGGTTGTTGTTGTTGTTGTTGTTCTTCAACCTTTCTAAATATCACCAACTTCCACGTGGTCGGTAATATCATAACACGGTGAATCACCTTCAAGTACTGATAACGTTCTGTTATCATTGAGCATATTTACATGTACCGGTCCAATAGGATGCATCGTGATTAAACAACATATAATATAAACCTGGTATATATTGATAATATTTCACTACACACAGCAGTTTTGACAAATAATAATAATAATAATAATAATAATAATAATAATAATAATAATAATAATAATAACGACGACGACAACAATTATGATGATATGGTGATGATTAACATAACATATCACTGACGTTCATTTTTCTAGTTAATATAAAATTTTCACAGTTCGTTTAATTACATCACTTATGATACAATATAGGGATGACTGATATTTCTTACTTACCAACAATTTCCCCTTCCCGTCACCGTCATAAAAATTAAGCTGAGTCCTGGAACTAGTAGAACACGGCATGTATATGGCACTAAAGCTGGCCCTGAGTATCATGGACGGATCTGACGCCGTAAACGTCAGCGTGCACGTGCTGGGGATGTCCGGCGCGTACCTAATCGTGCGTATCCATGCTGTTACTACCGCCATGGTATCGTTGTGGATTTTGAACGTCTGTCTGCATTGGTTGAATGTCCCGTCCATATAATAGAATCCTGAAGGGAAATGTGGGGTGTATTGAAAGTTTATCATATCATATCACATAACGTGATTTTTAGATGTTGCTCTTAAAAGCAGCTCGTATGCTGTGCACAAATATTAACGTGACTAACACGTGTTAGAGTTAAAATTCTCTGATGCCTATTTCAGAGCAAAATGGGAGATAATTACCAGCAAAAAATCAAGCCCTTCATGCACACGCACGCACGCACGCACAAACGCATACGAAATATACAAAACAAGAAATAAACATTTTTTTGTATCATCAATTATAATAATTCCATATACATTTTCTCTTTTTGTCTAAATAATGAACATGCAATCCAGAGTCTACTCACGATGCTTTTTCTCCTTCACGGCAGCTATCACTGTTGGGACAACCAACATGTACATCCACAGAAGCAAGTGCCTCGCCATTTCATTCTACGTTACAGGGACGTGGCACGCAGATCATTCGTGGCTGATGCAGTAGTCGATACCTGTAGCATTAGAAAGAGTACATGTATATTTCCGCCAAGATAATTTTGATACTATGAGAATCGTCGTCGACCTTGTTTTAACCGTGTCTTGTAATATAGGAATACTGATAAGTAAAATTACGTTAAGTACAAATAAATTAATTCAAACCTGTCCACACTCCCGATTGCATCAGGAGTCTCCCTATCCGCGATTATGGGACATACATGTACATGTACAACCCCAGTCAGACTAAAAATCCTTTTTCTTTCCTTAAAACACGTAACGATAAAAATATGTAGCTATATCCCCACTTTTAAATGCTTGGCAAAGTGCAACTGGTGGTTTCATTCACGGAAAAGTGTCTCCACGTCGGACCTAACTGCTTTATCAGATTCATTAATTGAGGGTAATAATTGTAGATAACAATGAGGAGGAAATCCCAAATACAAAACCCTGTCTGGTCTTTGTGTGAGTACCACCCTGAACAATGTACGTTGTCGTTACAGGGAGAAAGCTTGTTTCCATGAGGAACCTTGATAACGATCATTCAAAACCGCTGGGTTAGCTTCCTGGGTATTAACTGTTTGCAATAGTTGCTTTCACAAGCAGACTACCTCAGTTAACAATTAAATGGACAGCGACACTTTGCCACTCTACACTAGGGCCACAGATTGATATTTCACTACATATTCACAGATAATGTCTCTGGCTAAATATCGTCAATCTTCTACGCCAGAGGCCTGTTACAAAATTATTGTATACTTTAATATGGTATACTATTATATCAGTAACATATAAAATATACCAGTAACATATAAAATATACCAGTAACATATATCAGCAACATAAAGTTGATTGTCACCCGAGAGGTGAGCTGAGCCAACTCCGATGAAAGCGACACGAAGGATATCACTTGTTTTAACTATTGGTTCAAAAGGGCTGTTATTATGACTAAGTTGTCAATTAACTGATGAAATTCTTTACTAGGTATATTATCAATATTGAATATCAAGCATTGAAATACTTTTCATTAAATTTGAAATTTAATAAATTACTTACTGGTGGATTTAATATTATTTCATGTAGTCAAAGTGTATGATATAAGCAAACCGGCAATACAACCCCTAAAAATAGAAAAACAAGGCTTATTTTTTCAATATTAAAAGAAACGCAGAAACACTGTGTGTGTGTTTGTTTGTTTGTTTGTGTGTGTACATCAGGATGGGCGAACGAGGGAATATCCCTCTCTGGCAATCGTCAATGTTGACAGGTATAAATAAATACATGGACCTAGAAATAGAAGTTGTCATATGGGTCCCAGTCATCACCATTTAAGATAAGATCTATTGGAAAACAATGCGTGGCGACTTCCTCTTAAGAGAGCACGTGCTACTGTTTGGGACTTTGAGGGTTTTTATGCTACTAGTATTCCACGAAGAAACATTTGTCATTTAACATCAGGCACTTTGTTTATCTGTTGAGATCCAAATTGCAATTGTGGTTTCTATTATATCTGAACTGTGACGCATGAGCTTGAATGACAAGACTCATTAAGTCAAGTTAACAATTAAACTAATTGTTATTACGAACAAAGTAAAAGAAAAGAGTTTTTTTTTTTTTTTTTTTTTTTGCTCGCGTTCAGGACTTTTCTAATGATTTAAAATGTTTTGTGGGACTCATTTTCTGGATTCAGATGAATAAAAGCATGAGTAAAAAGTACAGTGGAGAAAAGGAACATAACAATATTATTAGCTCACTTTATCTTCAAATTTTATGCAGAGACTGTTGTGATAATTTTAAAAGTTGTAAAAGTTCACACAATTTTACGAATTTTTGCTGTGACTGTGCCGGTGGCACGTCTCGAATTACGGATAGAGAGTCTTAACCACCTGATGGGAGTGCAGTGGACCCTAAGTGCAGTTTGAGCCACGACGCGAGAGAGTGTGGACCCATCTCGTCAACTCATACCTAATAACAATAATATAAAGTTACACAGCGAGGTTCAAACTGTGAAAGACGGCAGCGGACAGCGGGTGCACGCAAAGAGAACACACGCTTCCTTAGCCACGCGTTTTCACTTCATTGGCGACAAGAATGAGATTCGCATTTCCACTTCATTATCATGATCCTCCTCGTTATTACCACGCTTAAACGTAAAGTTTAGTCAAACGATGGCGGCAATTGAAATCAGTGATGTTTACTTACCTGAAGTTTATCCTAATTACTGCATTCACACTACACAGTAGTAAAAGCCGAATCCTTTCCCCCTTTCGGGACACTGCGAGCGGTAAAAATATTCTAGCAGCTGACTGTACACGGTTACAAGTACAGGCAATAAACTACATATTGGCACTTCAACACTCCACTAACAATATATATATATGGTCACTTTCATCGAAACAGTCCCAGTTATCTAATTTTAAGTGATACCATGGTCATGGGACATTGTTCGCAATAACGAATGAATAGATAACAGAGACCGCTCAAATATCCATTGTTTTACGTCAGTGGACTCTTATATACAGGTATCTTCTCCGCATGTACTGACGGTATCTCCATTAAAGGGATTTTCGCACGTGAAAGGGACATTTTAGTCGTCATGTTATTGAGGAAAAGATAAGATGTCCACTGTGAGTAAACGTATTTACTTTGGACTGTTCTCAAGGCTATACATTGCGTGAACGACAAAGCAAGCTGATAAGGCATCACTTCAGGGCTTATCGTGCACCGCTCACCGTGCAATTTATATGATGTGAAGGCTGTGACCCTCTCATGTCACGTACACATATTGACATACATGTATATGTACTATATTCAGGGGCAGATCCAGGATTATTTGAAGAGGGCGGGGCGGAACGACAGGCCTGGGATGCAAAGCCGACCATCGCCCCAAAGGCATGGGGTTCGGGGCCTGGTAAGGTTTAGAACTATAATTCAGCTAGCCAAAATTCTAATATCAAGAGGGGAATATTGGTATAATATATTTTTCCGAAACCGAATTGGGGGGGGGGGGGGAACCCCCCTCTTAATCCGCCACTGATATTTACTTTTTTATAATTTTATACCTTTTTGGTCAATTTATGCATCAACATTTTGGTCAATCAAAAAAATCCAGATTCTTTTTTTCGGGAAGGGCTGGGGGGGGGGGGGGGGGGGGGAGGGGGGGGGGGGGGGGCGGGGAGGGTCAAGTCTTCACCCCGTGGTGTATGGCAATCTGATAAACTCAACGGTTTGGTGGCCTCTATCCGTTTAACCAGTTTTATTTGTGGAAACTTCGTAGTTAGGCTTGCTCAACATTCCTACCAGGTACGTCTTATACTATTATTCTAATAAAAACCTATAACGCAGAAATGACATCTTCTTTGAAGAAATCGGCTTTATTATAAACAATATGTTTTAATCACAGTACAAATAAGTGGAGGAATGACGCTGAATTGTTGGCATAGTGGAGATTAATATTTTACTAAATCAGACATCAATGTTTCGATTATGTCATCGGAATATCGTTTCTTTAAACAAACATACACAACATACATAGAAAACAAATAAAACAGAAATGGCATGGTACACAAATACACTTACGAGAAGCTATGGGCGTTTTCAAGACTACTTTGAAAATAACATCTACAGTACGTATTTCTTCAGCAGAATTTTTAATAAATGAGACAATCGTAATGCTGTAATAAAAGTGATGGCAGGAATTAAAAATACGTCATGTCTATCATTTTGTGAGCAACAAGGAGGCAATATAAAAGTGAGATCAAATACGTAAATAGTGTCTCTGTTGGCACTGTTAATTACAATTTTTCTCTACAAGAAATTTTCTAAATACCATAGAACAAATGGCATTCGCGGGAGGTGAACTAATTCTTGTTTAGTCGTAAAGTTATAAATACTATCAGAAAATTGGTAACTCGAAGGGATTATATGTTACAAACTATTTACATAAGAAAAAAATCATTCACATCGATACGATGGTGCCTAATTTGATTAGCAAAACATCACAAGTATGTATGTATTATGTTTCAGCACCTTTGAGATTACTAAATATCAATACATATTTTAATCAAATGCCCCAGCCGAAGCGGTTGGCGACAATAAACACTCTGCTCACTAGTGTAGCTACACATATTTACATTACTTTGGCACCGGTGAATTGGAATGTTCTTTAAGAGTTAAAAAAAATAAAAATCATGTCAAACTTTCACAAAAATTGACCGAACTGATCATTCACAGATTGGTATCTGTGGCAGCATTAATTGTCACAGATGAGATGAGATCAAAGCAAAAACGCATCACGACAAGTCAGAGATGTCAGTACAATTCAAAAAAGCACATAAATATTTTAATATTTTTCTGTCCCATATCTGTAGCAATGCAGTCGATTATGTACACGTTGGTTGGCACTGAATGTGGCGAGCTTCATCTCCCTTCACTGGGATTGTCTAATTCCTCAGCAAATTTGGCAACCTGAAATGGGGATAAAATGTGTTATCTTTTAGGGCATGATATGTGCAGGTATGGTAGGCATGACATGGCATGGCATGGTACAGTGTGGCCGGTGTCATAATGGATCAGGCAGCGTGAATGAAATGCATAGCATGATGCCGTTTCGATAATAAAACGGCATCATAGAGCATAGATTTCGTCGGAGACAGATGAAACTTCGACAATTTTAACTGACGAAACCAGCTAAACCATGACAGTCGAATCAGCAATTAGTAATTTTAATTAATACACTGAAGACCTCTACTTACTTATCCCGCTTGCTAAGCATGTCCAAATTTTCTTTCTTAACTTCTTCAATGACGTCCATCTTTCCTTCCAGAAGGTCCTTCGCCTTGCTTCGGTTCAGCCAGGGAGAAGATTTCTTCAGCGGGTTCCCCAGCGGGTTCATGTCTCTCTGGCGGCCCGTGCCTGACTTTTTCCTAAACGTCATATATTTCTGGTCGGACATGTCCAGAGGGTCGTCGCAGATGTTGTCGTGCATGGACAGGAAGAGCGGGATGTACAGGATGTAGTCCAGGAACGAGATCTGAAAGGCATGAATGAAGGTTGTTCACTTCCTGTATTTGAATTGTTGTCTATTCGCATACGCCACTGGGACGAATATATTTAAAGACAGATGGTTTTCATTAAGTAATAAGATGTCTAAAACTGAAATTACTATTTAATGATTTTGAGTGCACGAAATATCCTCCTCTGTTCTTTCAAATTCGAAAAATATTATACTCGTATATCTACTGCGTACATTTCTTTATTCGAAACCAAACATTTCAAAAAAATCTTTTATTTGTTGTTGTTCTAGGTTTCATAAATATGTATATAAATTTAAAGAATAATTGCCTCAAAAAGCAAAATTCTTGAACAGGTCAATGAATAAGTTTTGGGTGCGCTATGGATACATGTACCTGTAGCTTTCTATCGGCACTATCGACCCCCAGAAAAAAAATTACTTTTTTTTTTTCATTAATTTTTTGAAAGTTTCCTTTCAAACTTACAACCCCATTTATTACCTCCCCAAATATATTCGGACAAAGCCTGTCCATGATGTATTCCTGCTGTTCCCAGCTCAGCCCCCCCGCTATCAACTCAATACGCAGCGACTCCGCCGTGATGAAGTTCGGGTCGCGATCTGAAGTGACGTTGGTATAAAACATGGCGCGGTACAGGTCCATCTTTCGCTCGATGTCAGCCAGGTTGCAGATCTCCAGCAGGTGGCGGCTTACGTCACTAGAATGAAATGTGAGCCATTGTTTTCAATGCATTATCGGGCGTATTCTATGTAAACTAGTATTAGTACGTATACATGTAGCCGAAGAAATTTTTAGTATGGGACGTTCAAAATCACGCTTGGTGATGGGTAAATGTGTGGCTACAAAACGGACAGTACAACAAAATTTAACTAAAAATAGGCAGTAATTCCAGCACGTACTTCAAACTGAATTTATCTTAGGATAATAGATCAGAAAGACGTTATATATTTCTTTCTCCATCATACATCAATTGTAATTAAAATACAAATATCAAAATTTTTGAACAACCACAAAGATACTCACTCCATCTTTGTGACTCTCTCACATAACGCGGTGACCACAGCAAACATCCTGAAAGTGACTTGTGTATTTTCGTCTATCCTCAGTACCCGTAGACAGTACTCCAGCTGCTTGGGCTCTATGGCCTGCAGTGTGGGGATACCGTCTAAGCCTAGGCGGGCTTCCTGGTGAAGGAATACAGAGAGATTGTTAGTTCAAAACGTTATATAGAGTACCTAAATTCATATGCTAGCACAGATGTAAAATAAAGTCACAAGGACATGTAATCGCGTATGACACATAATTATTCATACAAAATGCATGGCAACAAGAAATATTTCAAACAAGGTACTTAATACATTTATATTCGTTTAAGTTTCTTAAGAAATAATAACAGTAACGTCATATTCAACTTTAAGAAAATTTTTATTATATATATTTCCCTTACTTTATTCATCATCCATTTACTATTTGCACTAATAAGAAAATTTTCAAACCATCTTCAGTGTTCTTACATTATTATTTATCACAGCATCGTAGTCTTGATCTTCCACACAGAAAGATTTTGCATACATTTCAATTTTGTTTGTTTCCACAAGGCGATAATGGTGAAGATAATCTATTCCGGAATCTGGAAATAAATAAAAAAGTAACGATTAATATACTCAAAAGATGTCGCCAGCTACGGTATGTACTAATCGTAAACATAAACTGTCTTGTGTGCTTATCTCAAAATTAATTTTCAAAAAATTATGAATTTTTCTTTCTGATTTGTATTCCGTTGATTTAAGCTCACCTTGCTGATCAATTTCTACCCAACCTGTAAATTAGTTTTTAATGTCTTACCTTTTTCGTCTAAATCTTTGGCGTAGTCTTGGTCAGTAATCTTGGACCAGTTGATGACATTTTTGATGTGGTCCAAAATTTTCTGCCCTCCTTTGCGCATCAGCACATTGGTTCGCCGTGTACCCCGTACTGAAATATGGGAACATTTTACGAAATAATATGGTGATACTTGTAGTGAAACGTCTCATACTTAGGGGATGCATTTTAATTTGAATCTCTTTAACTACTTTATTTCGATCCCAACTCCTATGCTAATTTTTTTAGAAATGGTATCAGTAGTTTGCAGTACGTAATGTGTTCGTTTATTCGTTTCATTTTATTTTTATTATTTTTATTATTTTTTGAAATCAAACTGCACGAAAGCAGGTTAACATACGGGTATCAGTGTCTAAATCGCTGTCGTCTGCCAATTCGTCTGTGTCCACGTCACTTCCGTAAGCGTCTACAGGTTTGATACCAATGGTTTTGCCTTTTTCTGTGATCTTTATATGGTCGCCGAACTTTTCCTAAAGGACAAAATATATGGAATTTAAATCAAAGAAAAAGAGCGTAATTAGACGATTTAGATTATTTTGACACAGCCATGTACTCAAATTTAATTGTTTTGCAATATGCAAAAAAAAGTGGAAATAACTTTTCCATAAAAAAAAAAAAAACAAAAAACGAAAAACCTGATTAGCAGCTGCAAATAAAACAAATAAAAAAGATAAATAGTATGTTAATGAAGGCACTAAAATTTATTAAAATCATTGGATGCTAGCACTTAAAAAATACTGGTAATAACATACTCCGACATTCACAGTTATAAAAACAAGAATGTCATACCTTGAGCAGTCTTGTGATCTCTTTCTTGGACAGGGTGGGGTCAATACCAAGTTTCCGAAGATCATCGTCGGTCAGTTTGCTGATGTCTATCTTCTTCTTTCCCTCTTTTAACTTGACGTTGCCATGTTCATCCACCTCAAAATAGTCACCATCAGATTCTTCGTCTGGAAATACATAAACACTCTATTTAATGAAGAAGCCTCTGAAGTCTTGAGATCATTTGAATTATTAAGTTGCGTGTGTACATGTATTACTCCAAGTGTGATACGCGTTTTAAGAATATATCTTAAAAGTCAAATTTACACCTTCCATTACCTACAAATTTTCCTTACATCAATAATGTCATCTAAAAGACACTTTAATATATTTTGACGTAAAAAGGAAATACATGTAAAAATTCAGGAGTAAAAGGCATATTCCACACAGTGTCTTACCGGTCTCCGGCGCTCCTGGCTCCCCCCTGCGATAGTATTTACCATCTTTGCCCAGTACTTTCTTCACTTTCTTTGTGCCTATCAGATTTCCTTCGGCATCTGTATATTAAGAAAATGAAAAAAACCATTCATTAGACCTTTTTCATATTTTTCGTTGCATTAAAAACTTACACGCTTTTTAACAAAACCTTACACTATTCGACATCTTTCTAAATCTTATAAAAAGTTGACTCTATATATCCCATTCCTAGCATCAATTTAACACTAAAAAGGGTGTCTACAAACGTGCCACTGGCGTTTAATTACATAAAATGAACACATATGACCAACTGTATGTATATTTCAGTAAAAATTTTCATATGAATCTGTTTACTTTTATTTAAACGCTGTTAAATACCTACCGTATTCATATTCTATGTCATATTCTTCGTCGTTACCACCCTGGTAAAATAAAGGAAACGTATTTAAACATTGTAAGAACGAGAACAATGTAAAATCTAGAACTGAATACGAACATACTGGTTTCGTCTCTTTCAACTGGTGTTTTTCTTTGTTTTTCTAAATTTTATATTCATTAAAAAATGCAGAACACATAATACCTGTGTATACACATATGTGACTATGTTTTGTTTATTTACTAGTAATAGTAGTATAGTATTCTTTATCTTCTTTATCATTCCTTATTCAAAACATTATGAAACTAAGATATTTCCAAATGATTTTACATATTTGGTTTCCTCATTTATTTCATTATCACATAAAGACTTACACATTTCATGCTCATTTAATTAAAGGGACCTTTTCCAACTAGGGCCTATCTTGGACATAATAACGTTACTTTATCCAAGGGCCTATTCAATTATTCATAGAATACAGTCATAGGACTCTACGTGCGATTAATTGATAATCTGTTCATCACGGGGGTGGGGGGGGGGTCTCTGTTTGCGATTTGTTTCTATTGTTAACAGTCATAATGTAACCCGTGTATTCGACTGCTTTATTTCATTTGATTATCTATATATTTTTGGGTTACAATTCTCAGTAGTAATATTTATTTTAGAGAGGATTTATTATTTATAACATTACATTTATTATACAAGCAGATTAAATTCTCCGGCATAGTGGATGCTGCAAAGATTTTGGTAGACACCATACTGTAGCTAGATAAGGCTAAATGGGTGTTGAACAACTCTGTGACGCTCCTCCCCCTTTACTTACCTTTCCACCTTTCTTTCTCACGATTCTCTTGATGATATTGCCGTCCTTGTCTCTTATCTAAAGTTTGATTTAGACAGTTCAATTCAGTGAAGAAATATCGAAATTCCATTTCTTTGTTTTAGTGTTTAGTCGTGAGAATTATGGCTTACTAGAGATACTTGGGAGCAAGCAGCAGAAAAGTGTTAACTTAACAAAGGTTAGTTGTGCGACTGTTTGATGGATAAAAGGTTTAAAGGCAGCACCCAAAGAAAGTGAGCATGAACACGGTTTAGAAGGTGAAAAATCAGGTTTAATTAGTTATAGAGGAATGCAGATTGAAAGACTAAAGAACATACACCCATGCAAGGATTAGCGATAGTAAATTTTATAGGAGAGATTAGAAAAATAACGCAGATCATTCATTCCACTCTAGAATCATAGATTAATTTGATAGATATATTAGGTTTATATTATTTACAATCACACTGTATTATTTTAGACATAGTTACCGGTACGACACAGAAAGAGAACTACAGTAGGCGGCCTACATTGTACTATACATATATCTTAGTACTGGTATTAGCAAGTTAGTCTTAATATTCAAAAAGTAACATACATAAAATATTTTACAACAGTACAACAGCAATTAATAAATTTTGATTTTTAATCGTGATATATTATGCAATGCTTACGTTTTTGACAACACTTAGTTTATGTTTTATTGTTTTTGTTTAATACTGACTAGTTCTTTTATAGTGGAAGCTTACTGGTAAGTATACAAATTAAAATTGTATTTATCATGCATAATGGCTCTTGCTTGTTACATTTTTAATTGGGTATTTTCTACAATGAACAGTGTCGTCTGCTTCACACGTGAATTTCTCAACTTACAATTTCTACGGACACCTCACTCCCCGAGTCATCGTCTGCTCCGTGCGCACCTTTCTTTTTCTTCCGCAGTTTCCCGTCGCTGCCGATAACATAGTCACCTAGAATAAAATATAAAATGTATGATAAACAAATAAAGATGAAAAAAATATAATATGAGCAATAAACACTTTCTGTGGCGCGTTTTATAAGACATCATCCAAATGTGACTTTAACAATTTAAGGTTGTTTAATTTCAAGTTTATGTAAAGCAATGCGGGTATAAGAAATATTAAAGGAAAAGACTAACAAACATGAGATCGACCTATTTCGTAAATCGTAGCAAAAATGAAGGAAATCGGATGCTATACCTTCATCACTTTCATCATCAGCCTCGTTTCCATCTTTGTACTTCCGGCCCTTCTTTCCTTTTCCTTTTCCACCCCAACTAAAACGTCAACATGAATTGATTATATAACCACTCAGCACAGTCAGTGTGATGTGTGTTTATTTAGGTTAATTTTGCTCTACATCTTACAACTGTTGATTAAAATGTTTATTAAACGGGCTAACGCCCACGTGATAAAGAACGAGTCACGTGCTCCAATGTCGCATTGTATTATACAAAACTGTAACTGAGCTCCATTCATTCCCCACACCGATACACTGATTGGTCACTACCCCATGTATTGTGAACTCTAGACCACTGCACATAATCCCTTTATAAAAGCATGGTTAAACGCGTTGAATGAAAATAAGGTTGTAAACTACGACCGAAAAATAAAAGGCGTGGAGTTTACGAGCAAATGATAATAAAAGGCGTCGAGGCCCAACTTATTTTACGACCGAAAAATACAGGCGTGATGTTTACGGGCAAAAGAAAAATAAGAGGTGTCAATATCCAACTTATTTTACGGCCGAAAAATAAAAGGTGTGGAGTTTACGAGCAAATGAAAATAAAAGGCGTCGATAACCAACTTATTTTACAAGCAGTGGTTTTACTTTTAAATCCCCCTTTACCTTAAAACCCAAATGGCATAAAACAATTTTTTCTTTTGTCTGTTTTATGACAATTGCCAAAATATTTCCTAATGATATAAAATGTAACAGCCACAACTAATACAGCCTTTAAACAACATAAAATAAAATAAAAATGAAGATCTGGTTCCACGTACTCATCATGGCCCATGCCAGGCTCCCGCCCGTCAAGAGGTTGTCCATCAGGTCCGAGCCCCCGCCCCGCACCTTTGCCGTAATCCACCATACTCTGGTACTTCTCCTTCTCAAGTCGCTCCTTAGCTCGCTTTTTATTCCTAAAAACCATGTCACATAAAGTATGACTTGCATTCTCATGTACACTACCATAAACAATAATATAAACATCACTTATGTTATACCACATACATGTACACTAAATATATTAGTTGGCAAATGTACTAAGGTATTGCTACATTAACAGCATAGGTAACAGAGGTTAACTTTCACAGAGATAGTAGCGTAGACATTTTTCTTTTGATAACTAGAAAATAAACTAATTATGTAAAATATCATTTGATATCAAATTCAATTTTATTTATATTACCTTTCGGCTTTGGCAACCATCTCCTCATATTTATCTCCATACTTTTCTCTTCTCCTTTGCTCTCTCTCCTTCTGTCGCTTAGCACGTTCTGCAAGATATACCTTCTTCTCCTCCTCGGTCATGTTCGCCAGTTTCCGTTGAACTTCCTCTTCGTCCGTGGAAGCATCGCTGAACGCCGTAGAATCCGGCGAGATGACTTCACGGTGTCCTCCGGGTCCTCTCTTATTTCTACCCTCTTTGTCCCCCTTCTCCCCCTTGCCGCCTTTGCCTCCCTTGCCGCCTTTCCCTTTGCGTTGCGACTCCGGCTTTAGTTTCTTGACTCGAATTCTTCCTCCCTTCCCGTCCGACATGGACTCAAAAGTGTATGCATCGCTGGAATCCTCATCACTGTCTGTCTCTGGAACACCAAATGCAGTAAATTGTAACGAATGTGCTATTGCTTTTAATTAGACGAATGCGTATAAATTAGAAATTCGCGTTAACTCGTTTCCCTGCAGGTAGACGATGGGAACATAAAGCTAAAATGTAAAGTCATCGCCGTCAGGCTTTGAAAAAAAAAATATAAATACAGTGAAATAATTGCATGCTTTTACTGGAACTTAAAGTGAAGTGAATAGAATCCGACTGTTAGTTCAAGACCACTTGCTTCTTTGCTAGGCGTGGTCGGCCCATGTTGATATGTACCTTGTATCACACCAGGCAAAAAAAAAAAAAAAAAAAACATATTATGCCTTATTATATACACACGCCTGTGACATAAATTCTGCATGGAAATATAAGTATGTCATGAAAAAAGGGGGATAGTCTGACAACGGAGAGACATCAAAACTAAATAAAAACATATATTTTATGTATCATATATGTTTTAAATTGCAGGATATTTGGATGACCGTCAGTACATTTATTCGTTGATCGTTCCAAGAATTTGTTCTTTATCTTTTTTCTCTATTACGCGTACTTCTAAACGGAAGGATTATTAGATACGACACAAGTGGTGCAACCTGACTGTAAACCTTGGTGACAATGCCATTGAGCAATGATACGACTGTGCTAACAACGACGAAATATCTCTGCTCAACCTTATACAGGTGTGCCGTAACCCGAGGGTTTATATCGTGAGAGGTTAGAACATATTTTAACCCATCGTCAAAATCAAAACCCTCTCGACTCAGATGATATATAAATTACACACTGAGGCTCCATGAAGTAGCATGAAGGGTTATAACATTATGTTTTTAACCCGTCGAGGAGGTACCTAAAGAGTGGAACAGAAGGGTGTTGACTTGTTTTTCTTTCGAGAAGAAAGGCCAGGGCGGCCCAAATTATGGGAATCGTTCTTAAGTATATAACCTCTGTACCCCTCGCATATGCCTCGGTTGCGGCGACCTATTACAGCAAAGACGAATGTTTGGATCATGTTGTTCCACGATAGCAAAGCGAGGGCGCAGATATTTCAGTGTTTGTTTTTCATATTTGTTCTGGTTTGTATCATAAACAAGTCTCTATCGACACCGAGCATATTGTAAACAACGCAGAGGTGACGCGGCATTATCAAAACGCAGTCAAACGTTTTCATGGACTTTTCAATAAAACTGAAACAAGAGACGACATAGGGGGTCCGCAGTGAGCAAGAATCAAGGGGACGAAAGGAACGAGGTACAGTGTCGCGCAGCACTGGGGTTATTTGGTAACATGATCGCAATCGACACGGTTGTTTTGTCCCTAAACAACAGACTTAAAAAGTCGGAATGCCCTCTATAGAAGTAGCCAGTAGAGACAATGCAACAAATCAAGAAAGTGTTGAACCGAGTAAAGAGAGCTGGCATAACTTCTTGACGACCGATGTGTTGTGACATAAGTTAAGGGTCACTCATCCCTTAATGTTGCGCCGTTCTGCGCCTTTTCTTTGTGTTTGTTTCAAAGTTATTCTGCTTCGTAGAGTTCGATTCTTGTGATTCGGCACGAACCCATTCTCCGCCGGTGACACCACGCTTTCAGAATGAATTGCTACAGATTGTTAGAGTAATTTGATCAAAATGCCAAGCGTTCTCTTCTTGTTAAGCGATCTATAAATGAATACATGTTCGAAGTATTTCTTTGGTGAAAATAACGAGCACTTCATAATAAGTTTTCCATAAATGATCTTGTTGTTTTTAGACACCACACCTGTGAGTGTGGCAAAGATGAATCACCAAAATCAAAGTTGATGAACCACCCCAACATCTGTTAACAAAAAGAGTTGAAACGGACACCAATTTGTAACTGCAGACACCTGGTATTTTTGGTTTCTTGAAGTGCTGTGAGGGTTTTAGTACAATGTACTAGGCAATGGTTTTGAGGACAACAATCAATTTTTAAATCCAGTTATCTAATAAAATCGGTCCCTCTGTCTTTCGTGAGTGGCAATTGCAATTAAGACGAAAGCATGTTCTAAACTGAACTGAGCACGTTTACTTATTTACTCAAATAAAGCTCCAAAATGACCTGGTGCCCGAATATATTGAAATAACCTAGCACCTGTATTGCCCTTCATTTCACATGGCCCTGTCATTATAATTAATTCACAAAGCAATTTAAATCTATTAAAACAGAAACCTATTAGGATAAAAGCCCTTTTATAGCTTAATTTAATTAAATTGGCCACTTCCAGCACATCTAGCGAATGACCACGGTTTCCAAGCACCTGCAGAACTATGCGTCACAGCGTCCAGTGTTTCTGCAAGCTAGCCGGTGGTCACTAAGTAAGCCCATTGGAGGCAAACAAAGCAAACCAGCCAGCGATACAGCCGGTAATAGTGAAACCCAAACAAACAGTTCTTTGTCCTGCCAGCTTAATGGTCAAGGTTCTGTTGCAAACTTAAAGACGTAAACAACTCTGTAAGCATACGTAACTCTCGAGATTTAGCAGGAGTTTCTCGTGATGAAAAAGTAATGAGAAGTTCGATTTAATCTTGAATGTCAAAGACAAGAGTCTTTAATCGTGTCTCCTTTGGGCCAGTGATAGTGTTCGATGCCGCGCCTTGGTGGTTGCAAAGCTTTTTGTTAGTCACGGCAATTGCCGTTATTTTTTAAAAAATTAAAATGCATGTATGGTTTTCTGAAGAAACATACTATTTTTTTTCTTTTTAAAGAGAATCAGAATAATGAAATGAAAAAGTGTGAACTTACCGCTGGGACTAGTGTAAGCCTCCGACTCTGCATGCCCAATAACATTGCCCTGAGCGTCTCGTATCCTCTTCTTGCGTTTCCTGGTGTGTGTTCCTCCCTCCGTCACGTCACTAAAGTAACTGTATTCACTGTCACTTCCATGTTCTCGGCGCTTTTTCTCTTTCTTCTTCTTCGTCTTAGCCGCTTTCTTCTTCCCTTTCCTCGCCAAATGAGCCATGTACTCGCTTTCACTGCTGTGGTACGATTCAGAGTCACCTCGCGTTCCGTCAGCGTTACGTTTCCTACGCTTGACGTGCCGCGTGCCGCCCTCGCTGATGACGCTGTAATAACTATGAGCACTTCCAGCGCCGTGCTTTCTGTCTCGGCGTCTCCTGCGTCTCCGCTCCTTACCGTCTTCATCCTGACTGCTGTGATAGGACTCGCTGTCAGCGTACGTTCCATCCGCGAGTTTCTTCTTCCTGCGCACGTGCCGCGTTCCTCCGGCGCTGACCACGCTACGGTAGCTGTACTCGCTGTTGCTGTCGTCGTTACGTTTTCCTTCCTTCATGGCCTTATACTTTCTGAGCTTTTCCCGCTCAACGGGATCCAGAGCACTGTACATTTCCTCTTCCGTGATGTCCTCGTAGGTTTTGCGTCCCATGCTCGTGCTCTTCCCCGTGGTGCGGTCTTTCATTGAGCCCACCCCGCTGTCAATGTCGGAGTCTCCTCCTGCGGCGCCACCTCCCTTACCACCACCTACTTTCCTGTAAATGAAACGAATATTTTATAAAAAGAAAACACAAGCTCATTTATTTATTTATTTCGTTAATTTATGTAATATCAAAATCAAAATTCAATATTAAAATTTCAATTTCATTATGGTTTATTCGCTCGAACATATTAAGAAAAAAATGATGCATGACCCAATCGCAAAAGTCAGAAATAATATCTGAGCTCTTTTAACAATGAGCAATCGATACAAATAAATACAAAAAGAGAAAGACATTTTAAACAAAACCTTACTTTTTAAACTTCTTTCCAGTGATTGGATCTTCAACAATTTCATATATTTCGCCGTCTTTACCAATGATCCTAGTTCCAGGCTTGGCAGCTGAAAAAAAATATTTTCACTGTATACATATATATTCTTTTAAAGGATTCCAATCCTTTACTCTCATTCTATTTTAACTTAAATTGCTTTGAGTTACTTTACCGTCATTTTGTATTTAATGTTTGTTATTCTTCATTTTATTCAATGTATCTTAATCTTCATTTCATTATTAATTATAATTTCATCAAAAAGTGAAATACCGCAAATTTCTACACCGGCCTATTTCTATCAATTTCTTTCTATTGCGCCCTATGTTTATTATTTAATTTCATTCATTTATTTTTTATTTTCATATACGAAAAAAGTGACATATCTTGAAATTCTACAAAGATCTTCATCTGTCTAATTCTTTCTGATTATTCTATCTTACTTATTCCATTAATTTAATTATTTATTTACATTTTATCAAAGAAAAAAAAACTGAATTACCTTGAATTTCTTCCTCGTCTTCGGAGGCGGCGTACACCGTGGACGCCTTCTCCCAGTCCTCGATCGTCTCGCCTTTAGCCAGGGGAATGAATTTCTTCAGGAAATTGACGTCACCCCCGCTCTCCTGGAACTGCCTGTACTCCTCTTCCGTCATCAAGATGGTCTTCTCCACCAGCTTCCCGCTTTTAGTGCGGATGTAAGTTTTTACCACTTTCATTGGCTTCGGTTCTGGCTTTTGCCAGGACTCGATCTTCTCGCCTTCACCAACGGACATGTATTTTCCTAGAACACTGGCGGGGTCGCCCCCTCTCCTTGTGATTTCCTGGAGTTTTTCGTAATCCTCTTTAGAAACCATGATGGTTTTCTCAATAAGCCTACCGCTTTTCGTTCGAACGTAAGTTTTAATGGTTTTCATCTCCGCCTCTCCCCACCCGTCAATTTTCTCCCCTGGTTTCGTTGTCACATACTTCTTAAGAATATCTCTGGCGTCTGAGCCTCCTTGTTTGATTCTGTCATAATCCTCCTTTGAGACATATACCAAGCGTTCGACAAGCTTCCCACTTTTGGTTCGTATAAAAGTTTTGATCGCCTTCACCTCGTCTTTGTCCCACTTTTCCAGCCCGCCTGCTTCCTCTTTGGTCAGGTACTTTTTGAGGATGTCGGCCGCCGCCTTTCCGCCACCGCCAGCCTTGAACGCCTGGTAGTCCTCCTCCGACATGAAGATCACTCGCTCTATTAACCGGCCACTTTTCGTGCGGATGTAAGTTTTGATTGCTCTCACGGCTGAAAATAAAACAGACAAGTAATGTGTGTATTTGGCACTTTTCTATTGAATTAAATTCTCGATCTCAAGGTGGGTTAACCTCTGATACATGTATTAAGATAGCTGTTTTTTATCAGATCAATGTAAGCCTGTAAGTGCTGAATATTATAGAAGAAATTTTTAAAAAATGACAGTTATGACAGTTGTTTCAATCATATTGACGAGCACTAATCTATTGTATCAATAATATATAATTTGCTATTTGAAAAAAAAAATAAACATACTTTTCTCTTCTATTGCCTCAAGCCTCTGCCTACGAAGTAGTTCTTCGAATTGCTGGAAAAATCACATTTATAAAACATGAATATAAGCGCATTCTCTCTCTCTCTCTCTCATCAATTTTATTAGAGGAAGGACATAATTATAGATGGGTATGTGCATAATTAAGAGAAGGGTATATTCAGATTTGATTTGCTATTGTGGAATTTGCTACATTATTTTTTTAATTACGTAGAGTGAACTATTTCCTTACAGAAACGCAACACGTGCACTTTTTAAACTCATGCACGCATGACAGCATCTGTAATCAAGTGAAGCGTGTTTTAAATGATTTATGCTCTCCCCTCAGTGAAAATAATCATACACATGCCCCGTGGGCTACACATTACAGTGTTCACTTAAACCCTAAGGCGGTACTGACAAAAATTGAATCGTCGAAATTAAAAAAGGCGAACTATAATAAATAATGTTGTTGCGACGCATTAATAAAGGACGTAATCATCTGTATGTAAATCATTTTTTTCTGGGTTCTTTCATCCTTAACACAAAACAAGCGTGTACGACCTAGTCGATCGTCAGCGGACACTTCATGTAATGTGAAAGCTGGATGCATTTGATAAGTAATTAAACCCAAATAACGAAATGTATCGTCATGAAACAATTATTTCATTTCATTTGGACAAGTCAGACTCACCCTGGCTTCAATTTCGTCCAGCATACTTTTCAAGTACCAGTAACTGTGTCTGTAGCCGCCGCCGACACGAATATACTTGTGCTGAAATGATAAGGCAACATGGTTAAAAGAGCGTAGAGAAACACATTTTGAAATGTTTATGAAAGAATGTGAACATTTTATTTCTTGCCGAAAAATTTTTTCGCAAGTACGGTATATTAGTCTGCTAGTTCATATTTTGATTAACGATTATTAGCGCTCAAATGAGACATTATTTTTTTAGAACAGCTGCTTTGGACATATTATATTCATCCTTGAAATTTAGGCAATCATACTTATTGCAGTTTATTATTAGTTGTTACGCAATTCGTTTTTATTTGTTTTTCAGCATTAAGGTTGCGCTTATTTCCTAGCTGCGACTCTGTTATTTGGCCTTTAGGCAGTCAAGCCTCGTTGTACACGGAGTAATATTACACCATATGTCAATATGCAGATGTCATTATACCCTCCCAGACGGAGAAATAAGAGATGTAACTCCTTGACATTTACCCTTCTTTTTTATGACACAACATGATCAAGATTTCTGCTCAAACAAATCACTCAAAATTGTCGATAGATGTATAAAGGCCCGATGTTGGGCGTCGTGCGTGTAGAGTATATAGTCGAATGGAATTAGATTAGAGTGCGGATGGGTTTTCGGAGTGGCTGCTCGGGTTGTACAAGTTTACTGAACGTGATGGTACTGTTAAAAAGCTTGATAAAAATTATTAGGCTCAACGGTACCGAATTTTAAGTAGACATTTACTACAGAGTTGGAAGACATCTTTTACAATTAGATGTATATCAGCAACATTTTACCCATGATCTTGTATACTCAACCAAACGACACAACAGACTACAGTACTATACTTGCTTTCTCAAAGTCTTACACCCTCCTGCGTAAAATCAGACAACAGAACATTGCGTTACAAAATCCCCCGCCCAACCCAACCCCTCTCGTCACAACGTTTGAAATATTGGCGCTCTCCCTGGGGTCGATTCCTTGCTACGTTTATGTCTTATGTATATATCTAATAACTGAACAATTATGGGCATACATACAACTGATTATGAAAACAAGGCATGAATCTGCTCCCTGCCCCCCCCCCCCCCCCCCCCCCCACCATNACTGTTAGAGTAAATTGATCAAAATGCCAAGCGTTCTCTTCTTGTTAAGCGATCTATAAATGAATACATGTTCGAAGTATTTCTTTGGTGAAAATAACGAGCACTTCATAATAAGTTTTCCATAAATGATCTTGTTGTTTTTAGACACCACACCTGTGAGTGTGGCAAAGATGAATCACCAAAATCAAATTTGATGAACCACCCCAACATCTGTTCACAAAAAGAGTTGAAACGGACACCAATTTGTAACTGCAGACACCTGGTATTTTTGGTTTCATGAATTGCTGTGAGGGTTTTAGTACAATGTACTAGGCAATGGTTTTGAGGACAACAATCAATTTTTAGATTCAGTTATCTAATAAAATCGGTCCCTCTGTCTTTCGTGAGTGGCAATTGCAATTAAGACGAAAGCATGTTCTAAACTGAACTGAGCACGTTTACTTATTTACTCAAATATAGCTCCAAAATGACCTGGTGCCCGAATATATCGAAATAACCTAGCACCTGTATTGCCCTTCATTCCACATGGCCCTGTCATTATAATTAATTCACAAAGCAATTTAAATCTATTAAAACAGAAACCTATTAGGATAAAAGCCCTTTTATAGCTTAATTTAATGAAATTGGCCACTTCCAGCACATCTAGCGAATGACCACGGTTTCCAAGCACCTGCAGAACTATGCGTCACCGCGTCCAGTGTTTCTGCGAGCTAGCCGGTGGTCACTAAGTAAGCCCATTGGAGGCAAACAAAGCAAACCAGCCAGCGATACAGCCGGTAATAGTGAAACCCAAACAAACAGTTCTTTGTCCTGCCAGCTTAATGGTCAAGGTTCTGTTGCAAACTTAAAGACGTAAACAACTTTGTAAGCATACGTAACCCATGAGATTTAGCAGGAGTTTCTCGTGATGAAAAAGTAATGAGACGTTCGATTTAATCATGAATGTCAAAGACAAGAGTCTTTAATCGTCTCTCCTTTGGGCCAGTGATAGTGTTCGATGCCACGCCTTGGTGGTTGCAAAGCTTTTTGTTAGTCACGGCAGTTGCCGTTTATTTTCTTAAAAAACTAAAATGCATGAATGGTTTTCTGAAGAAACATACTATTGTTTTTTTCTTTTTAAAGATAATCAGAATAATAAAAAAAAAGTGTGAACTTACCGCTGGGACTAGTGTAAGCCTCCGACTCGGCATGCCCTATAACATTGCCCTGAGCGTCACGTATCCTCTTCTTGCGTTTCCTGGTGTGTGTTCCTCCCTCCGTCACGTCACTAAAGTAACTGTATTCACTATCACTTCCATGTTCTCGGCGCTTTTTCTCTTTCTTCTTCTTCGTCTTAGCCGCTTTCTTCTTCCCTTTCCTCGCCAAATGAGCCATGTACTCGCTTTCACTGCTGTGGTACGATTCAGAGTCACCTCGCGTTCCGTCAGCGTTACGTTTCCTACGCTTGACGTGCCGCGTGCCGCCCTCGCTGATGACGCTGTAATAACTATGAGCACTTCCAGCGCCGTGCTTTCTGTCTCGACGTCTCCTGCGTCTCCGCTCCTTACCGTCTTCATCCTGACTACTGTGATAGGACTCGCTGTCAGCGTACGTTCCATCCGCGAGTTTCTTCTTCCTGCGCACGTGCCGCGTTCCTCCGGCGCTGACCACGCTACGGTAGCTGTACTCGCTGTTGCTGTCGTCGTTACGTTTTCCTTCCTTCATGGCCTTATACTTTCTGAGCTTTTCCCGCTCCACGGGATCCAGAGCACTGTACATTTCCTCTTCCGTGATGTCCTCGTAGGTTTTGCGTCCCATGCTCGTACTCTTCCCCGTGGTGCGGTCTTTCATTGAGCCCACCCCGCTGTCAATGTCGGAGTCTCCTCCTGCGGCGCCACCTCCCTTACCACCGCCGACTTTCCTGTAAATTAAACGAATATTTAAAAAAAAGAAAACACAAGCTCATTTATTAATTTTTTTCGTTAATTTATGAATTATCAATTTTAATCAAAATTAAAGATTAAAATTTCAAACTTATTATGATCCATTCGCTCGAAAGAATTCGCATAAATGATGCACTGCTCAATCGCAAACGTCAGAAATATCTGAGCTCTTTTACGGTTAACAGTGCGCAACCGATATAAATAAATAAAAAGAGAGAGACTTTTTAAACAAAACCTTACTTTTTAAACTTCTTTCCAGTGATTGGATCTTCAACAATTTCATATATTTCGCCGTCTTTACCAATGATCCTAGTTCCAGGCTTGGCAGCTAAAAATATTTTTACCTTTTTCATATATCGCATTTATATTCTTTTAAATAATTCCATTCCTTTATTTTCATAATATTTAAATTACTTTGAATTTCTTTATCGCCATTTTCTATTCAATGTATCTAAATCTTCATTTCTATTCAACGTATGTTTATCTTCATTTCATACATTTATTTAAATTTCATTAAAAAATGTAATACCGCAAATTTCTACACCGGCCTTATTCTATCAATCACTAAATATTGCGTCTATTTTAATTATTTAACTTCGTCTCTTTTTAATTTTCATATACGAAAAAATATCACATCTTGAAATTATGCAAAGATCTTCACCTGTTTGTTTCTTTCTAATTATTCTATCCTACTTATTCCATTAATTTATTTACACTTTATACAAAAAGACTGAATTACCTTGAATTTCTTCATCGTCTTCGGAGGCGGCATACACCGTGGACGCCTTCTCCCAGTCCTCGATCGTCTCGCCTTTAGCCAGGGGAATGAATTTCTTCAGAAAATTCACGTCACCCCCGCTCTCCTGGAACTGCCTGTACTCCTCTTCCGTCATCAAGATGGTCTTCTCCACCAGCTTCCCGCTTTTAGTGCGGATGTAAGTTTTTACCACTTTCATTGGCTTCGGTTCTGGCTTTTGCCAGGACTCGATCTTCTCGCCTTCACCAACGGACATGTATTTTCCTAGAACACTGGCGGGGTCGCCCCCTCTCCTGGTGATTTCCTGGAGTTTTTCGTAATCCTCTTTAGAAACCATGATCGTTTTCTCAATAAGCCTACCGCTTTTTGTTCTAACGTATGTTTTAATGGTCTTCATCTCAGCCTCTCCCCACCCGTCAATTTTCTCCCCTGGTTTCGTTGTCACGTACTTCTTAAGAATATCTCTGGCGTCTGAGCCTCCTTGTTTGATTCTGTCATAATCCTCCTTTGAGACATATACCAAGCGTTCAACAAGTTTCCCACTTTTGGTTCGTATAAAAGTTTTAATAGCCTTCACTTCGTCTTTGTCCCACTTTTCCAGCCCGCCTGCTTCCTCTTTGGTCAGGTACTTTTTGAGAATGTCGGCCGCCGCCTTTCCGCCACCGCCAGCCTTGAACGCCTGGTAGTCCTCCTCCGACATGAAGATCACTCGTTCTATTAACCGGCCACTTTTTGTGCGGATGTAAGTTTTGATTGCTCTCACGGCTGAAAAAATAAAACATTGTCAAGTTAAAATATGTCACTTTGGCACTTTTCTGTTAAATTCTCGATTTCAAGGTGAGTTAACTTTTGATATTAAGATTGCTGTTTTTTATCAGATCAATGTAAGTCGAGTGCTGAATATTATAACAGAAATAAAAAAAAGCTTCATAACTTCATAATGCAATGAACCAATTATGTTGACGAGCACTAATCTTTTGTATCAATAATAAATAATTTACTTTTCAAAAAAAAAAAAAAAAAAAAAAAAAAAAACATACTTTTCTCTTCTATTGCCTCAAGCCTCTGCCTACGAAGTAGTTCTTCGAATTGCTGAAAAAAATCACATGTATTTAATATAGATGTAAGCGCATTCTGTCTCTCTTTTACTCATTAATTTTATTAGAGGACGGACATAGTTATAGATGGGTATGTGCATATACAACAGAAAGGTATAATCGGATTTGTTTTTACTATTGTGGAATTTGCTATAGTAATTAAAAAAAATTGCGGAGTAGAGTGAACTATTTCCTTAAAGTAACGCAGCAAGTGCACTTTTTAAACTCATGCACGCATGACAGCATCTGTAATCAAGTGAGGCGTGTTTTAAATGATTTATGCTCCCCCCTCAGTGAAAATAAACATGCACGTGCCCCGTGGGCTACACATTACAGTGTTCACTTAGACCCTAAGGCGGTACTGACAAAAATTGAATCGGCGAAATTAAAAAAGGCGAACTATAATAAATTATGTTGTTGCGACGCATTAATAAAGGACGTAATCATCTGTATGTAAATCATTTTTCTAGTCTCTTTTCTTAACATGAAACAAGCGTGTACGACCTAGTCGATCGTCAGCAGACACTTCATGTAATGTGAAAGCTGGATGCATTTGATAAGTAATTAAACCCAAATAACGAAATATATCGTCATTAAACAATTATTTCATTTGGACAAATCAGACTCACCCTGGCTTCAATTTCGTCCAACATACTTTTCAAGTACCAGTAACTGTGTCTGTAGCCGCCGCCGACACGAATATACTTGTGCTGAAATGATAAGGCAACATGGTTAAAAGAGCGTAGAGAAACACATTTTAAAATGTTTATGAAAGAATGTGAACATTTTATTTCTTGCCGAAAAACTTTTTCGCAAGTACGGTATATTAGTCTGCTCGTTCATATTTTGATTAACGATTATAAGCGCTCAAATGAGACATTATTTTTTAGAACAGCTGTTTTGGACATATTATTTTCATCCTTGAAAATAAGGCAATCATACTTATTGCAGTTTATTATTAGTTGTTACGCAATTCGTTTTTTATTTGTTTTTGAGCATTAAGGTTGCGCTTATTTCCTAGCTGCGACTCTGTTATTTGGCCTTTAGGCAGTCAAGCCTCGTTGTACACGGAGTAATATTACACCACATGTCAATATGCAGATGTCATTATACCCTCCCAGACGGAGAAATAAGAGATGTAACTCCTTGACATTTACCCTTCTTTTTTATGACACAACATGATCAAGATTTCTGCTCAAACAAATCACTCAAAATTGTCGATAGATGTATAAAGGCCCGATGTTGGGCGTCGTGCGTGTAGAGTATATAGTCGAATGGAATTAGAGTGCGGATGGGTTCGGGTTGTACAAGTTTACTGAACGTGATGGTACTGTTAAAAAGCTTGATATAAATTATTAGGCTCGACGGTACCGAATTTTAAGTAGACATTTACTACAGAGTTGGAAGACATCTTTTACAATTAGATGTATATCAGCAACATTTTACCTATGATCTTGTATACTCAGCCAAACGACACAACAGACTACAGTACTGTACTTGCTTTCTCAAAGTGTTACACAACAGAACATTGCGTTACAAAATCCCCCTCCCTACCCAACCCCTCTTGTTAAAACGTTAGAAATATTGGCGCTCTCCCTGGGGTCGATTCCTTTCTACGTTTATGTCTTATGTATATATCTAATAACTGAACAATTATGGGCATGCATACGACTTATTATGAAAACAAGTCATGAATCTGCTCCCCCCCCTCCCGATCGGTTTTTATCTCTTAAGAACCACCACACGCACATCGGCTCTTCAATCCCCGGCACATCATTCACGCTATCGTCTATCCTCTAGGTTTACACGCACTAGAATTGATCAGTGTGCTTAAAGATTTATGAAAATAACAAATATTTCAATCACAAGGCGGTCGTCCCCTGCGTCATCATTCCCCTGGTGACTGCGGTGCATTACGCCATAGCACTCCCAAAGTAAAGATAGCTAGGGCGATCGTTTAGACGCGTGTCATCTTATACGGCTTCCATCCTTAAGCAAATACACTGAACGTGAGCCTTTTCACGCACGCGGAATTATTAATATGCTAGATAACAGCTTGCTCGTTTAGGCCGAAACCGTTTTCTTTCAGCGCAAATTGACATAATTGGACTTGATGATCTGAATGTCGCGGGGGTAAAGAGCTGAAATGGCGCCAAGATTCGGTTTATTTGCTCTCAAATCATGGGTACAAAAGAAATTACAAAAAATATGTTAAGCTACTGAAAGAAACTGTGATGGCAGTGCGATGGGGCTAGAAAAAGATGAGTTGTTAAGTGCAGTATTTAAAACCCGTTTCAGTGGAAATAAGTAGGCCTTACTAAATCCTAGCTATCAGAGCAAACTGTATTATTAAGTTTAGTTCACAACGAAGAGCTAATCTAATCCCTTCGCTGTCCCACTACCGCCGCTATTGTGCCGGTCCTCAGACTGCTGAGTGGGGCCGGCCCAAGTTGACCTTATCAAGCACCTTAGGAAAAAGTTTTGCACCTTTGATACTTACTCCAACACATTTGCTGTGTGGCACCTTTAACATACACTTCAAGCACTCTTCAGATGACGTCTGAAATCAAAATAATCACAAATGATTAATAATAAAGCAGCAAGCAAACGAAAACAAACCTATCTTGAACGCGAGATAACTTTTTCTTCTAGCTATGTTACTTGCGGATAAGAGAGAATATATATCATCATTCAAACACATACTTATCAGGGGCTTGTGAAAACTATTCTAGCATTATATTATTTGCCAATAAAGCTACCAGGTATTGTTATTCAATTTTTCAATGGATTAAGAAAGAACACCAAGTTAAACTTGGTATTTGGGCTCGCATGATATGCCCTAGCAACGGACGATACAAATAAATTTCAACATCAACTTGGAGAGGGGTTCAGCTAGACGGTAATGCAGAAGTGCCCCTCACAGTGGCAATATACTACGTAATCTCCCGGCAACGTAGGCATTTGGTGTTTACCCTTTTTACAAGCCATGGCACCTAGTTTACTGGTTTAATGTAACCACTGAGTATTTCTTATTCAACTGTGAGATGATGTTCCCTGTTGTTTTACAGGCAGTCAGTTTGTCATTACTTCAATATTGAGACTTTTTGCAGGCGTACATGTATGCTTACATTTATCCATATTATATTATAGAAGTACATAACATTTTAAGTCCTTTAAACGTCCTCTCCTTCTCTCTCTCTCTATCTCTCTCTCTCCCTCTCTCTCTCTCTCTCTGACACACAATAACAAACAAACAAACAAACACACATACACACGTAACGCACACAAGGCACGCGCCCACAAACACACGCACGAACAACGAGCGAGCACATACACACACGCGTGCGCACGCACACGTATACAGACGATCACCGTGTCTACCTACCCTGTACAATTCCGCTGCGCTTTGACTCCTATAGTGATTAGTATACCTGGATATAACATCTTCGTTATTCCTCTGTAAAACATAATACAACAGATTTTGAAATAATTATATCACTTCTTGTTTACATGTAGGTGCCAAGAAAGGGTATTCTAAACACCATATTTCATTTAATGTCATACCAGTGTATGCTTTTATAATGTATTAACAGGTGCCAAGTAATTGATTATGGATACGAAAGAAAACTGACCATAGAGTTATATTTTATACGTTGTCATCAGAGGCATCCAGAATGAAGTTGTATTATTTGACGTGATGTTCATTTAATCTGCATTCTACGGTTCTATATAAACATTGGTTGCCAGGACTGTGTCCTTAACAAATGTGGTATATGCCTGCTGTATTATGATTAACGTGTATTATGGCTTACTCTAGACTGTTAAAGTATGGACCAACCCTACTTTCTTTGCGATATCACAAAAAAGATGCTATATGATACGTATCGGCAACAAAAATATTTAAAGTCAATATTCTATTACTCCCAGTTCATAGCGGGTCATGCGTCGGGCTTTAAGATTTCAATACAATAATCAAAGTCACGAAAACAATGACGAGACTGGTGGTAGTATATTTCAATTTAACCTCGGTTGCCCGGATGAGGTCACGGAAAATATGTAACGTGACACTGCAGCATCTTATAAAACACTCCGAAATATGAAGCTGTCTTCATCAGTATATGTTTTACGCCAGGGCCCCAAGCTGCCATAGAACGCTAATCAAGTTCGTCATACCGGAAAACAATAGCCGCACTGTTGCCGATTTGTTCCGCCCCGGCAATCCCATTCTCATTTTTCTATGACCTCTGTATGGAGGTCGCGGATGGAGGAGGTATGTAAAACACCTTTAACAAAAACAATCCACCTGCCACACTGAACAGGTAAAAACAGGTTGCTAAGTCCGCTGCCACAAGTTTGTTTACATGTTAGTAGAATTTGCTGTTTATCTTGTTGCGCTAAAAAAACTCATTATTATTTTTTCGGCATTCCCTTTTTTATAAGCATTCCCTCTTGACAATATTCTTTTGAAATAAAGATTGTAAAATATTTGAGGTCCTCGTCGTCTTTGATTCATCAGTATTTTTTTCGTCAGATTTAAAGATTACTTTTGTGTATATATTTACATAAACCTAGATGCTATTTTCCTCTATCTACGTGTACATCTATGAACTTATACATGCAGAATCATAGATAGTGCTCACATACCCTCGGTAGCTAGAAAAGTAATAAAGGCACATTTACTTGCTTCACAACTTAAACTGCTTATTTCTTAACTCTAGTGTAACCAGCACCCTATCCAATGACAACAAAACTTATTCCCAGTTGCTTCATTTGATACTTTTTTCATGCATGTCAAGGTTCAATAATCCTATATGAGATTATATGAATCGGGGCGTGACTGAACTGCAGCGTATTCATGGGTTCGTGTCCTGCCCCGTACCCCCCCCCTCCCCCCGCAACAACCACACGCTCGTTCTCTACTTACCGTTTTTAGAGAAGGGAGTTTCTGACTCCACGCAGATGCTGGGCGGCCAGGCCTCACGGGAGCTCGCAGGATACAATAATCTAGAAAAAAAAATACAGAGAGAAATTTAGTAAAAAACTTAAATTAAAAGTGCATATTGATATGTCGTCGTAAATTAATTTTTTGCTATAAATTTGCACATGATTACATTGTCAACCTAGAATGTTCTTATCAGAAAAGGTTGTCAATAAGATGCAAGAGCCTACCGTTAGTTCACTGTACTGCATTTTAAACTGATGGCATAAGAGCGCAGTCTATATTTATGTTTTCCTTTCATCATAGAGTACATGTTATGTAATACGAAGGACTTTTCACTTCAAAATATTTTGTAACTTCAGGTCGTACAGATGAGAGGCACAACCAGGCAGGCACAACTGCTATTTTCAAAAAAAGATATAGAAGAAAATAAGTTTTTTTTTATCTTAGAATTGATTTTAAAAAAGTGCCCGGCGTCTCTTCGGTCTTGAGCAAATGACGGTTTTGAACGCCACGTTTCTCCTATGTCCAATTTCTATTCCAAGCTGAACCAATAGCCTCAAGAGAATAACCTTTCCGGTTATTTTGAATCCTTCTCCCAACACCTCGCGATATTGTTTGTGTTGAACTGAACACACTGATCACGAAGGTCCGTTTTATTTATCATCGTGTCATATGTCGGGGCGATGTTGACAAAACAAAGAACACATATAGATAATGGATAAAATGTGGACTTGTGATTCAACGTCGTGAACACAGAGCGCGGTTATATAGACATAATGATCGTTAAATTGCCTCGGTGCGAAGATAATGAAACTGTATATATGCACATTTTATATAAATTAGCCTGTTTCGTGTTTAAACACTAGCACTGAAAATCTATTGAAAGCCACACTGGATTTGATACCGAAAAAGCGTATCAGTCAGAAATAATTCAGATAAACAGAAGTCTGCGCCTAAACTAAATTACTATTGACATGTCATATCCTCCGTGCACTACCCGCCAATTACTGGACAAACACTTTACGCCGATATTGCAATTCTGTAAGTTTCCTGCGAGGATTGCACCATTTGTTTACTTCAGTAAAAAAGTTTTTATGGGATTTGTTGATGGATAAGATTACATATAAACAAGAAAAATACGAAAGAAGTCGATTACAATGTGACACATCCCTGTTGTTATTAAGTTTACCTGTTTATATAACTTATTTATATACGTGTATTTCCAAAAATGAGGGCAAAGAAAATTATTTTTGAACAAAAAAGGAAGGGAAAAAACACGTTTGTGAGATGAAACGACAGTCAGCTTTTGTGGACAACTTTGACGTGATTTAGGGGACGTGATTTAGGGGACTTGTCACACATCGATGACCGTATGATGTTAAACCGCATCGCACTTCTCCATTGTTACGGATGATAGCAATGCTAACAATGTACTCAATAAAGCGCAATCAACGGAATATTGTATCAATTCATCATAACTTGTCTTTGTTTCAATTTCATAATTGCAAATATAAGTTATAATTAAATCAACTTCTCTTCGCTTCCTCGAGTTTGTTATCATCCTTGTTAACGAGCAGATTGATTAAGAAAACGCGACACGGCTCCACGCCGGATTGTGCATGTATCGATCCCACTCCCCCTCTCGCAAAGAGACTTATGACTTTGCTATTGTGACAAATAACAACACCATAGAGTTTCATAGCAGTGATTTTCTGCCTATTTTACTTCACCCGAACCTCTTCGCGTTGACTTACGAAGTAATTATCGACTTCACGTCTTGGCGAGCACGCATCTCGCCCTTAACACATGGGGTCTTGTTGATAACGTTAGCTCTTTGCTTTTTTCTCCGCTTAGACTTAAATTGAAATGCGTGATATTAAATAACCAGTTTTGGGAAAAGACGCCTTATTGTTGGTTTAGTGGCTAATTTGAATTTGGGTCCTCCACAGTAGAAACTACCTAACAACTAATGTCGTACTAAAAAGAGGGGTGTAATTCTATCCGTAAATTTAAAAAGGCACGCTTTTTTCTCCTAGTCTAACGAATCCATTCAGTGTACTTATTACACGGGAAATGTACCTAAAATGTAACCGTTAAAACACTCGTTTCCATGGCAAATGATATATCAAGTTTCAATTTGATTTATTTTCAGGGCGTAAACGGTTTGTCACGTACGTTGAAATAAAATGTATCTTTAAAAAAATGAATAATCACAGGCATAAAGAATATGAAATTGTGTCTCTGTATGTGTGTGTCTGTGTGTGTGTGTGAATTCAACAGCAGGTACGGGATCATTTGTTTCCGATTTGCCGTCTAAAGTCCATGCAAAATTTATTGAGTGTGGAAACAGAAATAGGTTAAGTTGAACTCCTCTTTGATCCGCTGCATTATCGCTTTCTTAACCGCTGACTTAATGTCTCGATTTGGGGTGAAGCTTTTGATCGGTCTAGTTACCTTTTTATTGCTAATCCATACATTTACCTCAAGGAGCCACCGAAACCAGCGGATTTTTTTTATTATCCAAAACATCCTGCGTCTGGTGATGCACACGCGACAACGGACAGTAAATGATTCCATAAATTGGTTGTCGACGATATTTTTTTTTTCGATTTGCTTCGTCTGATTTGTTTTTAAAAAGGTCATTTTGGGTGGCAAGAGCTAAAAATAATACTTGACAAACCACCATCACCTGTGTTTCACTATTACAGCCATCACGTCTACGGCGTTCGAAGGGCGGGTTTAGAGTGAAGCGGAGGCTGCCTTGCTTGCACGTACAACAAGCACTTAATCAATTGGAGTGCACTTTGTTAATTTGAACATAGTCCGCAGAGACGCAGGGGAGAAACAGGATAAGAATAGAACGCCTTCTGTTGGTTTAGATGCAGTTTAAATCTGATTGATCGAAGTTTGGCCGCGTCCACAGAGTACAGACTGTCAGTGTCACTGATTCCCAGAATAATGACTAATGCTTCTTACACAGATTTGGAAATTGATAAAACTGACATACTGTCAAGTGCCATCTGAGAAAATTTAACTTGTATTCTGTACTTGAGTAATTTGGTAAGAATATTAACGTAAGTTTTTTTGTAACGTGATGCCAGTCATCCATGACGCTGCTCCCATACAGAAAGCTACCTAGTTACGCTACAACAATATGGCCGTCCGATGTGTGTTAAATACTGATAACCAAATATTTAAATGGTCGTTCTTCCTAAGTTATCCAGCACGAGTAAAACATGTCAATTACAATTCTGCTGAAATTTATTCGTAATTTTAAAGCACTGCGGTGCAAGTGTGTGCCATTTCTGAACGAAGAAAAAAAACTAAATTATTACAGTCTACTGCTCATCATAAACTCTTGTGTAACTGCAGCCGACTTAAAGCATTATAGTCTGCTAAATTTATTTGCGGTGACAGCTGTACATGCAGACGTTTTGCATGAGACATTATAGGTGTTCTTAATAGTAGTAAGCCATGAAGATATAGTTTTTTATCTCCTGGGTTAAAAAACAACGAAAAACAAGCACAAGATTTAACATGCTGTATACGGGTTGAGGGGGGGCACGCAGAAAAGAGGCTTACCGTAGCTACCGTGTCCAAACGCCGTCGCAGCTGGTCGCCTTGAGAAACACGACGAACTCTCCGAGCTCGAGGGTCGAGACTCGTAGATCCTGGGGGATGGACTCGGGGTGTGGTACCTGGGACTCCTGGCGTTCATCCCGTGTCCCTGCCCCGACGGTCGCGGTGTGTTAGGAACACTGTGAGAGCGCGGACTCCGTCCGATGGGTGGCAAGTTCGATAAAAAATCCGCCATCGTTTTGGCTCCAAGAGTCCTCAATACAATGCGAGGCTGTTCATTGATGGCACGGTTATCCCATGCTGTCTCTGCTGGCTGTATATCCCAGAGAGTGTGTTGATTACTGTGCCACTGGCTCGCTACAAGTCAACCTATGGATAACGCAGTGTACACAGGGGCCTTACTGCGCGCTATACAATCACGACTCAAAAGCGATTGATTAGCTTAGACCCGCTCGCTTTGTTGTGCCATTATTTTTCTGCGATCAAACATGAGGCTAGATCAACGGGAAGGCGACGGTTACCAAGCCCCAGCATCGGCTTCATTGGACTCAAAGAAACCCTCCATTTTCAAAGTTTCAAAACACTAACTAAACAAACTTGCCCCCTAATGCTATTACCGCACGTTCAAATCCCCGAATTAAAGACTTGTAAGCTAAGAAAACAAGCAGTAATCGAATTGCGACTTCTTTGTGTCCTTGTCAATTGAGACACGCATAAAGAAAAAAAGTCCTTTGTAATCTCGGCGCATTACCTGCAGTCAAATCTCTTATGAAGTGTTGCAGGTTAACGTCAAACCTAGCGTTTGTTGCTAAGATAGTATCAGATTATACCACTTTTAAAAAGACAAATTCGACTTTCTTTAACGACCAGTAAGATTCTATGGAAATTAGCCAAGTTTAATTTGATAAACTTTTGTAACCCAAGGAGGCTAATGGAAAACGCAGGCAGTTTAATATGTTAAGTTTTTTTATCATATTTAGGATACTAATGGCAATGGTGAAAATAAATGTGACATTAAAAGCAAAATAAATATTTGCCTATCGGGTTCTTTACTGTTGATTTTGAGTTATGTTATTCCAGACCGCAGTCAAACAAAAATAATATTTACTCTACAAAATAAATAAAAAAGGACCAGTGCAAGATTCATAAGTATTTCTATTTGCCAAAAATGTACTTCACGCTTTTAATTAATGGCCTTCAATTAAAACTTTTGGTTTATTAATAATCGCAGCGACTGCCGTGGCTGAGCTGTGTATATTTTTATTTGTGTGTCCTCAAGAGGAATAAAATGCTGAAGGACTGACATTTCAACAAATGATCATATCTTTAAGAATACATTTGACAAATTTCTCAACAAAAATATTTTTCTTTGCATGCCTTTTTCATACTTTTACCGGCAATACTATAATATACATGAAAAACAAAGAAAACGTGATGAAATTGTAAATGTACTAAAAATTTAAGATAACATGATATGCTCATTATTTTAATTGTTTTTTGTTTTTTTTTTTTTCATTCGTCCTCGTACATTTAATAAATTATCACTTACACAAAAGACCGGCTCAATTTCGGGACCATTTAACGCCCCGTTTTTAATTAATTAAAAATTACGTTCACATTCTCAGGTTCTACAAATTCAGCTCTTCTATGATCCGTTGAATATATTCTCAGCATGCTTTCCAAGGGATACAATGACCTATTCTAATTTTTTTAGGTATTTTCTATGCATATATCTCTTTGGCATATAAGAAATAATATAATATGGACGAACACCTGTTTACATGCAGAATGTGGTTGGTGCGACAATAGAGCACATCCAACACAACTGAGGTGATTGATACCCCTCAGCACTGTACGCGTTACATGTTACACGTAGTATTACACCTTTATCTGTTTCCTTCCTTTTTCAACTGTTATGGCTTCTCTGGGTTTCCTTTCTTTTCTCCTTTTTGTCAAGGATTTGACATTTGCGTGCAAAACGAAACGATTTGCCATTTGCAAATATTGTTTTCGACAAATACTTCAATCTTCTTGAATGAGACCTTCGCAAAGGAATGTAATAAACTGAAGTTCACCTTTTTTTTTAAACTGACACTGTCAAGGCCTATTTCGTTGATGCTTTTTGTTTCTTACTGTGTCATACGGACGGATACTGTGGCGATCTGGCAAACTGAACTGATAACATGCGTTCGGCTGCTGACAACTATTTTCTTTTTACCGCACCATTTTCAGGTACAACCCTATGAAATAAAAAGAAAGGAAGGGGTAGGCTTACATGTATGCAAACTTTGCTACAATAATAAAGGACGATCTGCATATCACTACATTATAGAGACTTGTTTCTTCCACGTTCATGGATCTCTCAAAGTGCCAGGTTAATTCAGATATAGACAAAATACTTTAAAAAGTTAAAGTCTTTCATTTCAGCCGAAAGCACTTGCACACCGTCCCACCAGTCAAAGATCGTCCTGTTTATTCCAGAAGGAATCTCTAGAACTGTGAAAATTTTGGTTCAATTAGTTATTCATTTACATAACAATGGATGTAGCCAGGTGATAGCAATAGAAGTAGTTATCACGTATAGAAATGATTTCAATGTGCCATAGCATTAAAAGTCCTTGCTTTATGCCTACTCATAGTGGTGAGGTACTTCTAATATGAGTGTATATATGAGTTTATATAGGAGAGTGTATATATCTTCTTATATATATATATATATATATATATGATTTTTATTCATATAAATTCGAATTTTATTATANTAAAATTCGAATTTATATGACTAAAAATCATATATTACCGCTGGTAAAAGTGTCATTTTCTTAGCTGTCTTACAGGTTTTCAACGTCGCTTTTAAAAAATATTATCGTCAATCTTCCTTTCATAACAGTATTGCATCTTAATTGGTCCCATTCATCCAGTTGGCTAAGATCGTATTTGGGTATGACTGCAATCAAATAAATGATTACTAGAAGTAAGACCAGTCTGTTCACTCCGTCACCAAGGCCATCGTCGTCTCTTGCACCGTTTACGTGATCGATTGTCGTTTCCTGTAAAATTTTACTCAGCTGTACGCGGTTTATTACAATCGCTCAAGACAAATTATATCACCGTGCTGAGCGCTCGTTGAAGCACGATTTATCAAAATGCATTTCCTGATTTCTACTGATGAGACAGTGATGAGTCCCCGATAGAAAATTTTCTAATATAATTAGCTTCATCATACAAAGTGCAGATGGTCTCATTCCCTACATGTAAGCTGTATTATCTGTTGCGATGGATGGAAGAGGGAGGAGGGGAGGGGAGGGGGAAGGGGAGGGGAGGTGGAGGTAGCTTTAGCTCGAGGAGTATGATGAGTAAGGACACCGGGCAAAAGGTCACCGTCCGAAATAAAAACAATCTGTCAAAAAAAAAATAATAATTAAAAATAACACACACACAGACATAGCAAGATGAAGAAAACTGGACAAATGAAATATAAAGAAGAAAATAAAAAAAGAAGTGAAATAAGGTTTGCTTTAAACAAAATAATGCAGAACAAAATGATTAATTGGACATATCATATTGTGGTATTGCGGTTTACGGGGAGATCCGCTAAGAAGCAGCAGCATTGCGCAACCTCGCTGTGGTAATTGCCTCCGTCACCTATCGCCTGCAGAGAAATGTGAAGACGTAATGTCTCTATTACTGTTATTTCCTCATTATCTGAGATTGGCAGGGAATAAGGGAAATTACAAAGTTACGCCATTTCCTCTTTACACAGTTAATACTGACAGACACAGCATCAACCGAGAATAAAGAAGATGACTATTCGCACTTCACAGTGCATGCGTGCATCACTTTGTTTTTGTTAAGTACCATTAGCATAATAAATATACATTTCTAATTGATTTTTTAAGTTACTTTTTTATATTCACTCACTAATGTGAGTCGTATTGTACTTACATATACAAATATAATAAATATTGTAAACCACCCGCTTACTTTTGCACTTCCTCCTTTTATCAATTTGAGTGAGTACACATTGAGCAGTGAAGGAATAAAAAACATCCGACACACCTGCAAGTAATGTGTAGAGAAATAACAGGACGTACTATCTCTCTCCTTCTCTCTCTCTCTCTCTCTCTTTTTCTCTCTTTTAACGTACGTTGTGGTCAAGTTCAACACATACGCGCGCACACGCACACACATACACACACACACACACACACAAACACACAAACACACAGAGAGAGAGAGAGGCACACGCAGCTGAAGAGGCCCAAAGCTTTAGAATACACACACACACAAACACACAAACACAGAGAGAGAGAGAGAGAGAGAGAGAGAGAGAGAGAGGCACACGCAGCTGAAGAGGCCCAAAGCTTTAGAATATATATATATATATATATATATATATATATATATAATTTTTGACCATACGGATTTCTTATATAACCATCTTGTCATCACTGTCTAGTTCTCCCCGCTTCATGCACGTATAATTACATTGGTCATTATCCCTTGTAAGATGCTAACAGAAATTTATTTCTATTTTTAATTTTTATTTATTTATTATTTTTTGTGATCGGTAAAGAAACATGTGTAAAACAGTTTTTTTGGCTTTTCTGGTTTTCACATTAAGATATAATGTAAAGTCAATTTTTTTTAGAAATTACCTTTAGTAGAGAAAGTCACAGATTTTATCAGCCTGATGCAAACATTTTTGCTCTAATTGTTCATGCAGTTAGGGCGTTTTGAGGGATGTCACCTGTGCACCACATGGAACCGTTCTATTGTAGAACTAACGCGACTGAGAGATGACACTTAGTTTATATTAAAATCACGCGAAGCATTGCAAAAGAAGGCAAATCGCTCATGACAGGCTGTTTGATGAATGGGGGATATATAGCAGGTTAGTTTTCACAGTAGTGATTAGTGTTTCTGTATCTGGTTTTCATACTGACCCATGATATCAAACCCACAGTATGGTGACTATGATTCAACAACAAGTCTTCTGGCTCTGGAAACAAATTGCAGCAGCGAGCACGTGTAAGTGACTGCGGAATTAATGGTTCATATTACGCTTATACGAACATCACTATACAAGAATGGTAGAGATATTTCCAACTCCTTTATTACGCTCTTCACCACAGAAACCTCCACTGAGCATGGGGTTCTCTAGCCTGAAAAATGCGATTATATTCTAATTTAAGTGAATGCAGTTATTGACTGAGATATTCGGGTATTACAATAACGCTTCACTGGAAATGCATATATGTGTCACTTTTGTGAGGAAGAAGTCTTATGACACCTTTTTACCCTATTTATTGCCTGCATCTTTACCTCCGCCAAGGAGGTTATGTTTTCACCCCTGTTTGTCTGTCTGTTTGTTTATTTGTTTGTTTGTCTGTCATCAACATAACTCAAAAAGTTATGGTCCGGTTTTGATGAGATTTTCAGGAACTGTCAGAAGTGGGCCAAGGAAGAGATGATTAGTTTTTGGTGGTGATCAGGATCAATAACAATCAATAATCAATAATAATCAAAAATTGCTGCCTTGGCGGAGGTCTGCGCTCTCGGAGTGCTTTTCTAGTTCTCAATTGTTTTTACCCTAGCTTACTTATAATTTTTCACATATTTGTGCACCCTACCTTATTGTTTACTACAGACTTGACATTTAATATGGAATATTTTTTTCCAAATCATTTTTCATCAGTTTTTTTCCTATTTTGCTCACTGATAAATGAAAATAAGGATTAAAATCATATTATAATAACTTTTAATTATCTCTTTGATGTCATTGTGACATCAGTTTATTAATGGAATTCGCCAGAGAAGCAAACAAAAACATA